CTGCATCCCTGCCCCACAGCAGGGCTGGAAACCCGAGGAGAACATTCCTGCTGCCTTCCCAGGCTGTCCCAGACCCCAAAGCATCCCCTCCTCACCTGGGCCCAGAGCAGCAGGCGAGGATCAGGTAGGTGACGAAGAAAACGGCGCTGCAAGGAGAGAAAGAGAGGGAGAGTTTATGGGGGAAAAAGCAGCCTGGGATGGTGGTGCAGGGGGTGGGGATGGAATTGCCTGGAAAAGCAGCCTGGGATGGAATTCCCTGAAAAACCAGTCTGGGATGGTGGTGCAGGGGGGAATTCCCTGGAATGAAATTCCCTGGAAAACCAGCCTGGGATGGTGGTACAGGGGGTGGGATGGAATTCCCAGGGATGGAATTCCCTGGAAAAGCAGCCTGGAATGGTGGAGCAGGGGGGAATTTCTTGGGGTGGAATTCCCTGGAAAACCAGCCTGCAATTGTGGTGCAGGGGGAAATTCCCTGGAAAAGCAGCCTGAGAGGGTGGAATTCCCTGGGATGAAATTCCCTGGGAAACCAGCCAGGCATGGTGGAATTCCCTGGGATGGAATTGCCTGGAAAAGCAGCCTGGACATGCAAGCACCCAGCAGGCGGGATCAGGGTGGTTCCCAGCCCTGCTCCCTCTCACTGAGCTCCTTCCTGCCCTCAGGAGCCTCCTCTGCCTGTGCCCGTCCCCAGGGTGGCACAAAACATCCCTGGAGAAGCCGAGGGCAGGATTTGGAGCAGAGCACCCAAATGTGAGAATGACAAACACAATTCCACTGAGTTTGTGTTGGCTCTGGGGAAATGTTCCTTCATGGAAAGGGAGGTTGGGCTCTGGGAGGGGCTGCCCAGGCAGTGGTGCAATCCCACCCCTGGAAGTGTCCAAAGCCTTTGGAAGTGGCACTGGGGGACATCCAGGTCTGAGCACTGATTGGTTTGACTACAACCTCCCAAAAAACTCACTTATCAACCCAGGACACTTGGTCAGTGCTGAGGGGAGGCTTGGTGGTTGGACTCCATGGTCTCCAGGGGCTTTTCCCACCTTCACGATTCCAGGATTCCTTGGTTCTGGGAGTTTCTCACATGGAGGTGCCAGGTTTGTCATCATTTCCAGGTTTGCCCCTCATTTCCAGGCTTGTCATCGTTTCCAGGTTTGCCCCTCATTTCCAAACCCTTTCCAGCCTGAGGGTGCCAAGGCTGGAGGTTCTTAAGCCAAGGGCTGGCAAAGTGACCAGGCTCAGGCAGGAAGGGCTGTGCTGGAGGAGGGAGCTGCTCTCATGGCACATCCCTCCAGGAATGGGAATTTTTGGGCTTTCCATTGCTGGAAGTGCCCAAGACCAAGCTGGAAAAGGGATTGGAGAAACCTGGGACAGTGGGAGCTGTCCCTGCCCATGGCAGGGGTGGCACTGGGTGGACTTAAGGGTTCCTCCAACCCAACCCATTCCAGGATTCCTCTGCTGGAGAGCTTGAGGAAGAATTCAGGGCAGGGAAGGGCTCAGGGCAGGAGGATCCATCCAGAACAAGCCCAGGGCAGAAGGATCAATCCAGAACAGGGCCCAGGGCAGGAGGATCCACTCAGGAAAGGGCCCAGGGCAGAAGGATCCATTCAGAACAAGCCCAGGGCAGAAGGATCAATCCAGAACAGGGCTCATGGCAGGAGGATCCATTCAGAACAAGCCCAGGGCAGCCCTGGCTCAGCAGAGCCCAAGGTGCAGTGGCTGCCCAGCCCCACCCAGGTCCTGGCAGGTTTAGGGTTTTACCTGCCAGCATTTGAGGCTGTCCAAGCACAGCAGCCCCAGAGCTGCAGCAGGCAGAGCTGAAGGAGGCTCTCCTGCCCTCCTGCCCATGGCTGGGTGTTTTTCCAGGCTCTGCTCCCTGCTCCCCCCAGGGCAGCAGTGCCGATGGCTCCGATAGCCACTGACCCTCGGCCAGGGCAGGGAGGTGACGGCAGAGCCCAGGGCACAGAGATAAAGGCAGGCCCAGCTCTCCCACTGGGAAACCAGGAAAGCCCAGTGGGAGCAGCCTGGACACGGCTGAGCAGCTGGGCAGGGACTGTCAGAGCACAGAGCCAGCAGGGCCCTCCATCCCTGGCTGCTCTGGGTTTACTTATTCCCACTGAGAGGCCATCCCAGCAGTGGGAAAACGTCCTGGGGCTCCCAGGTTTTATTACAGAGGTGTCTGGTTGGGAAGGAGACCCAGGCAAAAAGCAGGAAAAACTTTTGGAGGCACTGGAATGAAGGGAAGGGCTTGGCTCACTGAGCAGTGAAAAAACACAAAATTAAAGTCATGGAATGGCTTGGGAGGGAAGGGACCTTAAAATCCACCCCATCCCATCCCATCCCATCCCATCCCATCC